ATCTTGGGTGATAATGGCCAAGGCTCTATTAAATCATGTCTGTCAACTTGAGATAAAGTTTCTTTCTTACAGAAGTCAAAGTTCACTAACACACAGCATTTAGAGCTAACACTAGGGATGATCTTCTGTGCCTAGACAAGAGCCTTGGAATAAATCATTACACTTCCAGTTCAACATCAAACACTTTTGCTTGAAAAGCCTTACTTAAAACTACCCTCAAATACACAGACTTTTGCATAGATATCTCAGCCAAGAATTTGTGAGTATAATCTGCATATATTCATTTAAAACAGGTCATTTCTCCCTCTTCCCCAAAACCTGTAAACATGGCTGCAAAAACATGAAGCAAGACTGAATGCCAGGAGCAAGTGGACCCCCTGTGGTCTTTCCTGACAGAATCATGCAAACTGAGAGCCCTGACACAGACAGGGCTAATTCCACATTTGTGATGCAGCTATTATTCACACTGGGTAAGTCCTAGCACTGTACAATGCTCATTAAAAAACTCCTCTAAGTGTTGATGTAGAGATTGACATTTCCAGCACAAAAGGAATTTAATGTAGTAATTGTGGAGTCCCACTGAAGACAATGGAAATGTTATGTTTAAATACTTCTCAAAATACAATGCATTATTGCCATAGGTGAATCACTAAATATACTAGATATAATAGCCATCTGTATCTTAAGGATGGCTGTGAAATTTGAAAAAAATTTCCTGTACCAACAACACTTTTAGCTGCTGACCTAAGAGAAGCCTGGTGAATAAACACATAGGAAAACTAAAATAAATCCCCCCAAAATAAAATCCTGTAAATCTGAAGTTAAAGAAATTCCAAAGACTTTAACACATTATTTGAAACATGCCTCAGTCTTTCTCAGACTTTAAAAGAAACATTAACTTCTAGAAGAGATCTGAGAGGCTGACTGTCTTCCTCTTGAGAATTTAACTCTAGAGGCAGGACTCAACAAACAACTTGCAGTGGAGTTTGCACAAGAGACATTTGCTATCACTTCAGTCAAGGGTGTATCTGTTTTTAGGAAACTATGCAGAATTTTGGTGGCCCTTGGTCATATCACTGTCCTCTTGCTCAGTGATAAGATGAGGACACACAACTCACTTATCTAAATGAGTTAATGAACTTGCAGTATCTTTTGATCAGGTACATCAAGACTATTCAGCCATCACTATAAATGAATAAAATATCACATTGTAAAAAAATAGGAAGAATTTTTGAAAAGAACTGAAGTAGCTTGTGTCTAACAGAGATTTATGTCTCAGGTCTTTTCTTGGAGCTCCACAGAGAAAAAGGTGACTCTCACTGACATTGATGCAGTTACCATTTACAGATTTACTGTGGGTTTGAGTCTGCCTGTTCCTTACAAAAGTGAGCACAAGAGATAAGCTCTTACTAACAAGCCAACAAAACAAAAATTAATCACTCCCAGTCAAGCCCAGCTTAGCACTTAGTATTTTCTGGTTTGTAGAGCTAAACCATTAATTGCCTTATTTTCTGATAGCTCTGCAGTGACCTTGCATACACTAAGGGTAGCAGAGTATAAACCAAGCTATCCATCAAACTACTAAAAACCCCTTACAGTTCAAAGGCTGCATTCTCCCATCACTTAACTGGCAGAAATTCTTTTGCAAAGAGTGACAAGGCAGCACAAAGGTGGTCAGATATTGTATCTCCAGCTGTCTTCACTAGTGTATGCTTGCTGACCAAAATCCTATCATAAAGTTTCTGAGTTTGTAATTATAAATTCTGAGGTCTCTGTTAACCTCTTGATTCCGAAGTCTGGCATTAAGAACACCTTTTCTATTTAATTCTTTCAAGTTATATGGACCTCTGGCGTAGGGGATTATAATGAACCAGACCAGTAGAGGACAGGCATGATCAGGGCTCCTGTGAAACTCAGGAGGCTCTGCATTTCTTGTAAAGAATAACAACCCTATCTACAGCTCTGACGCAGGGTGTCTTACAGGAGTTAGGAGTATGCTGATTGCAACCTTGCTCGGGCACTCATCCTAAGGAAAAACCTCAGGACACTGCATGGTAGAAGCTGTTGACTGTTTTACAGTTTACTGAAGTTCAGCTGTTACAGTGGTCCTTTGCTGCTCTTGCAGTTTGTTGAATATATCAAAACCAATCAGTCATCGCTAACCTAAAAATTAAACACAAATCCTAGATTTTGACCGCAAAACTTGAGAGGAAGGGAGGAGAAAGAAGAGAAGAAGGGAGGAGAAAGAGCAAGAGATCAAAAGGCTCACTATGAAACACAAAAGTCAGTGATTTGGAAACATTTGGCACTGTATTCAGAGTCTTACAGACCCTCCTTGCTGACAAATTTACCCAAGTCTGTCACCTGTAAGCATCAAACAATCTGACTTTGTACAGTGCTCCTCTTGCTCCTGCATGTCTACACAGCCTTCTGAGAAAGTACAGAATAGCAGCTATGAGAGCAGATCATTGCCATTCTATTACCAGAAACGTGATTACACTCTCCTTTCTAAATTATCATGCCTGCCAGACAAAGCCCTGAGCAAAGCATGAGATAGCACAGTGTAGAAAACACAGATGCATTTGGTTGCTAAGTCTGACATTTGCCACCAAATAGCAGGAAATTGGCTCTGCTGACGATGGAGAACGTAAGTGAAAGTACAGCAGAAACATGGGGCCTGATCCTTTGCTGGAGTGAATAGTTTGAATTTTGCTGGGTTTTTTTCCAGATTGAGGACTGGGCCACCAAAGCACTCTTGCTATCTTGTAAATAACAGCAGGGAAAAAGTTGATGGTTTCAAGAGGAGTGTTTTGAGCTTGTCTGTTTTAATCTGCAGCAAAAGCTACTTCTGCTTCAACTTCTTGGTTGATTTTTCAGTCAATAAAGGAATAAAATTACTAACCCAGTAACCAGCCCATTTCTTCTTTCTATATGGGCAAAGCTCTGAAATCCTGGCTGAACTTCTCAGTAAGTTTTGCTCAGTTCGGAATAACCATGCTTAGCTCTCAGTAAATGCAAATATTTTTATCTTACTATGGTATTTAAAGTCTTTGACCCTCACTGTGTAGTTCATACTGTTACTTTTCCTTTAATCAGCATGTTTCAATCAAGTGCCTATTGCTGTAGGACACACATCCATAACTAGCAGTAGTGAAGACAGGGCCAATATCTAAAGATCACTTTCCCAAGTGAATACAGAAGTCACCTGAGACACAGAAAATTATACAAACTTACATTACAGCACCTTTTAAGTAAGTGACTACCAAAGGCATCAAAAAATGAGTGGGAAGCACAAATACCATTTACTTTTAATATAAATTTTAATGTAACTTTAAAATCTAAATGTATGAAAGAAAAGGAGCAAATAAACTTTATTCCTCTTTGATTTCACGTCTCTAAAAAGTGCATAAAGCTCTGAAAGACAGGCTGGAGGGAGAATGGGGGAGAAAAGAGTAGAGAACATTTGGAACTATAGGTTTGTATCTCACTGAGAAGAACAATTTATCAGAGCTATGGAGCTGTCAGTACTTGACATGATAAGGAATAACACCAAATGAGTAATGTTTCCTCCAAACCCAGCTCCTTTAATTACAAGCCGCCTCCTTGCAGAAGAGAGACAGAAGATGTAGAAACACCAATTTCATGCACTTGTGCCTGAATAATGTCTCCGTGCTGCCTTTTCCAGATGGCAACCTTTTCACTGGAGGAACTAATGATGTGGGCATATTTAGGGAAAAACCAATAACGGAGTCTTTAACCTTCAACAGCAAAAAGCATGTTGTACAAAATGTTCCTTGGGATACATTTACAAATATCAATTACATTGCTCACTGAGGTGTAATCAGCTGTAATAATCAAAATTAATTTTAAAAAATAATTAAACAGACCCCAGGGCAAATAGTCGATGCTCTTGTAGTATGACATCACAGTATACATATGTACCTGAGAAGAACTTGCTCACTCTCTAAGCAGCAAAGTGATTTTAAGGAATGAGAAGGATGCTGTGGCATGCTACGAAAACACTTGCAGCTCAGTAAGGTACTATCAGGCACATTAACTGGGTATCATAGCCTTTCTGGTCAACACACCTGGAAGTGAACCAAGCATCATGGGGCATAAAGCTGCAATCTACTACAGCTTGAGGTAGAGGGTTAAGACCTCCTAAAGTGATTCTGTAACAGACACATATTCTCCTCAGCAGGAGAAAGAAGACCTTAATATGTTGAGCACTGCAATAACACAAGCTTGGTCTAAAGCTCTGAATATTCTGTCAATGTACTTCTGCCCTGCCATATAGCTAGTTACTCTAGCCCTAACACACTCACACAGGTAACATCTACCTGGTGCTTTGTATTTGTATTTTTGACAAATGCCCAGCAAACCCATGGAAATTGCCCTCTCTCTCAGCAAAAGAGGAACTTATACATGGAAAAGGTAGTTCAGCTGCATTGCTGACAATAGGAATTATGCATACCCTCCAAACCTATCCACAGATTATATAACACTTGTTTCCTTATCCCTAGGGGCTAAACTAAAACTTGGACCACTAATACTTCACATAGAGTAGAACATGAAAGAACAGTACTATGATAATACCTGATGCTTTTTACTAGTTCAGTGTCTGAAGGACAAGGTTTACATAAGTGATGTAAGTCAAAAGCAGCAGTAAAGTCAGTATTTACTCACCTTGCTCTGCCCCAAGCAGAGCCCTGTAAGCACAAACATACATGGGCTGCTTAGGTTTTTCCTTTCAAGTGCAATACTTAGGCCTTATGCGATAAGGTAAGGCTGCCAACAGAAGTTCTTCAGGTTGCTATTTCTTAGTGATTATTTACAGCAGTTAAGAAAAGGAACCTTAACTGCAATAGGCATACAGTTTACAATGGAACATGCCAACCAATAGACATACCCAGAAGCCTCCCAAATCCAGGCAAACTCTCCAGAGCTACATAAAAGGCACACCAGTGACTGAGCCAGAAAAGACAAAGAGCAAAAGTTACCTCTGACTTGCATGTCGTTTCCTTTGTGTTTCGGCCAGATGAGAGCCTAATAGCTGAAGAGAGGTTTTCACTCCACGAATTGTGCTTGCTTTGTGACAGGCCTGACCCTGCTTTATTCTGCAGAAGCTTCTTTTCAGATGCTGTGGGCCAGAACAGACAAAAAAGCTCATAAGACTTGAAGTTGAGCCTGTGGGAAGATAGAGAGATTGTATTACGCAAGATACAACAACATGGCAGTGACTCACTCCAGATGGATTGTTCTTCTGTTTATAAGAGAAGAATTAGCACATCTCAAGTTTTTATTTAAAAGCCAAACAGAGGTCTGCCATAGATTGGTTTCATTACACAGACATGAACTTTGAATCACTGCAGCACGACACACTTTTAAATTTTCCTATGGGATACAATCATCTAAGGAGATTTCTTTTTCTTGCAAGTGATTAGAGAAGGGCTGGGGTATGACGCAGAAAGTAATCACAGGCCTGAATGAGAGAAACTGACAATCTGCTTTATCTAGGAGGTGATGTGCTGAGGAAGGGTATAACCAAGGAACTAGGGGCTTTCCATCAAGCACTCCATTTACTGTAATGTCTTTGCTTACTACGAGTGTTCCATAAAAGAACAGAGACCTATCAAGTGTTGCCAAGCTTTTGTCATAATTTCTTCCCATAAAGGAGTGATCTCCGTTATCTTCATGTCCCTTTCATTGTCATTTCCTTTCACAGAAAGATCCATCTTGTAAGTGTCCTCCAGAGCCTGTCTCCTCTGAGAAATAAGCTGCTTCCAGATGATTTCTACTGTTCTCAGAATCTCCTGACGGACTAGGAAACAAACAAAACTACAAATGGAGAATCATTTTTTTTTGGTAACGAGTCAAACAACAGATAAAGCAAGAGCATCTAATTTGGAACAGATCTGATCTAGAGTAACTGCTGTAGTCAGTGGAGTTGTTCCTTTTCTGTCTACTGCCTCCACAGGTTCTAAGCCAGACTAGATAGCCTAATACAGAAAACAGCAGGACATTTCCTTTACAATATTACAGGTAGAAGTGACAGATGAATCTGTTTTCTGCCTTGGAAAACCACCTCATCAGAATTTTGATGATGTTATCGTACATGGAATGCTAAAGCACATAAAGGACATGTCTTTATATTGCCAAACATTATTAGAGATGGTGGGGTGAAGGTAACCAAGCCATGAAACAATTTGACACAGCAGGAGGATGCTCTACAAGGAAGTGCTGAGCTGTTTTGGTGTAGTTCTCTTCAAACCAGACTTACTTGGTTGCATCATAACCAAGCCAATAGGTATTAACAAATAAAAAAATAGCACTGTTTTGCTGTAGGATTCAGCTGACAGGATCCACATTGAATTAAACCCAAAATTTTTCCCATGTTACTCTTACAAGAGAAAACGTTTTTTCCTGTGTATAATAGACAGACATAAGCTCTGTACAAGCCTTGAAAAAAAAAAGAAATAGAACTACAAATAGTATGTATGTGGCCACTGACACTGGCCAGAACATGGGGGAGAGATCACCAAACTGATATCCATTACCCCTGAGGATGCTAGGTGTGACTTTTGAATAAAAAGGCATGATGCAAACACAAGTCCTTTTTTTAGCACAACTTCCCTTTCTCTGCCTACAGTGCCTATATACTGAAGAGGAAATAAGTAGCACTTGCACAAGCTGCTCTGATAACTGCCTAGGTCAGGCACTTTCCTGCTCTGTAAGCCACAGGCAACATGTGCCATAAATTACCATCATCTGGAGTAGGCAGGCTGCCCTTTTCATCTTCACTGGGTGCAAGGAAAATTTGGTGATAAGAAGCCAGCTTTGGTTTTGCATCCACCCCAAAACCTTCTGAACAGCTGTGACAAAGAAAAGAAAAAAAAAAAGGAGGGCATGTGAGGAAACCAGACTTAGAACAAACTGAGAACAGTGAAAAAACTACAGGTGTTTCTACACATCCACTCCTATTTCATTCATTTAGTAGATCAGTATTTTCAGGCTCGAGGGTTTATGCCAATCACATAATTCTGCAGAATTCACAGGAAGTGAGAATTAAACCAATGCCAGTCTGGTTTTCAAAGTCAAGGAGCAGCCATCAAGATCCTATGGTTCACTCTGTTGTACATGCCTTATCCCTGCACTTCTTACTGCACTTATATCTACCATTCATCTCAATTAGCTAGAACACAGGGCTGTACTGATGTAGCCAGTCTGCTTCCAGCTGTCTTGCACCTCCCCTGGGCATCTTGTATGTCATCTCTTTGCTCTGAATTTCTTCACTAGAGATATCTGCCATTACATGGGAAGCACTGTCTTGCCATGCCCTGCACCTGAGCTGCTTACTCTAAGTTTTTTGCATCCATTATTGTTCATTCAGTTTATAAAGCACTCAGCATAAAAAGCTGCAAACTTCAACACCATGATACTAGTATCATATAGATGTGATTATAATTGAGAACATCACCACGGCCAAAATGAGTTAGCTCTGCTTTGGGAGTGGGGGACGTGTCAGATAATCTACCAGTCAGTAGGCAAAAGACAATACTTATAATAAATACAACAAGTTCAGTTAAGACATCCAGACAATCTGGACTTGATCACAGCACTACTGTCAATAATAGCAGAATGAGTCACTAGTAACATACTGAGTTCTTTCAGCTGCAAACTGGCCCTACTACCTGGGAAAGTCAAATTTCTTGGGCATGCAAAGCTGCCATTTTTATTTCTGATTTTCTTCTGATACCACAAATCTGATTCTCTGGATTTGCTATGTTGTGCTTTTGGATAACACAAACACTTCTGCAATTTATTTTTTTAAAAAATGTTTCTGTTCTTACTACATACAAGCAATCCACACACTATCTCAATAGCTTTGGCCTGGAAATTATTATCTGACTGGAATAAGAACAACCAAGAAAAGACCTCAGTAAGTGCAGCTCATTTCTGATGTGATACTGTATTAATGGATTCAATTCAGACCATCTAAGCAGTACAGAACATTTTCATGGAAACAAGAAACATCATTATAGTGAATAATGGCCAATATTTGCTTTTTTCACAAACCTAAGTTTCCATAATAATTCCCCAGCTTACATTAGCAATAATATACCTGATACATCATCATCATCTGTAAGAAGAGCAAGCAGAGTGGGTATGGATGTTCTAACCCTACCCAAGTCAATGGCCAAACTCCCAACTGCAATGCAACCAGGACTTTGCAGCTCAGATCCAAGTAACAACAACAGAACAATTCACAAGATCCATGCACACTTTTATATATGTTTTAAATGTACCCACACACGAATAGCTGCCAGATCAGAAATATATTAACCCATGCAGATGTCTCGGAGAACAGCTACCTGCATGCTCATGGAGTGATTCTAGCCCACATCCCAGGAAGACTTCCAGATTCTCAATTTACTGATGGGCTTATGAACCAGCTTCACTGCAATCAGCTCAAGCTGGTTAACCGGTTACTACTCCAAAGTGAGTAGGCTGGTGGAAATGTGGGATCCAGCTCAATCTCAGCTTCTAGTGATTCCCTGCAATCAGTATTGCCCAAGTCCTGTGAAATCTCCCCCACCTCACTCCCTGCCATAGATACAGCACAGAGATGTAAACAAAAGTTATACTGAGATGAACATTTGTACCTGCCCGAGTTCAGTTGGCAAAGGCAATGCATTAGGCAGATGACAAAATTATTATTTGAGTTGTAAGCTGCAAAAATAATCTGCCAGTGTTCCTGCAGGACATTGAGAGTGTTCAGGACATTAAACTGTTCAGACAGTGACTGTTGTGGTCTGGATAAGCAGTATAGGATGGCTCTGTTTAAACAGCTGTACAGGGTACTGAGGAAAACTTCCTTTGGAGAAACAGAGCTTTCTAAGACCTGTGAAAACACAAAACAGCAGAGAACTTGGCGTGCTCAAAACTTTCTCCCCAAGGATCCACTCCTCCCACTTCATTAAGCTGTGGCAAACTTATTTCAGCAAAATTCCCCTGAATTACCTGATAGATACAAATTCAGCTTTTCTGTATTTCTGCTGAAGTTTCAAGAATTGTGGAAGAGATTAATTCATTCCTGTTCAGCAACATGAACATGGCAAACAGACAGTGGCAGAAAGAGTTAACTATCCCTTCCTTACCGAGCACCATCTATCTCTGATTATCATTTAGAGCCACTATGTGCTCATGCAAGAAAACAGGAATAATAAAAATCACCAATTCACCATCTTCTTGAGAACTTCAGTGTCATGACCTCAGTGTGAAACAGTATGTTGCTAACAGTTGGAAAAAAAAATTAAGATCATGTCACTCACCCACATAATCTGTTTGGCTATGAAGATCAGGATTTGCTTGGGGTCAGCAGCAAATGTTCTGCTGCTCAGCTTCTCAATCAGCTTCTGAGCAAAATAAGCAATATTTATCATGGATACAGGTGCAGCTGATTCTGAAGTACCTTGAAGATCACTACTTCCTGGAGAGGACACAAAAGGGTTGATTATTTCAAAATAAGCTGAATTTAAAAAAAAATGTGATAAGTAAAGTTGTCAGAGCTGAGAAGGAACAGTCTCACGCCACAATGTCTCAGAGTTGGGATGTGCCTAAGAAAAATCTAGGTCTAGAAGAAACACCTTACTCAGACTGGAAATGACAGTTCTGTCTTAAGGATGGAACCAAATAATGTAAAGAAGGACCGGTGCAACTGATGATTCAGATAGTAGAGCAGCAACAACTAAGTTATTGGGGTTGTTTCCAGAAGCACTCAAGGATAAATCTTGGTTTCTTTCTAGGTAGTAACTTTTTAATATTCAGAATCTGTTCTCAAAAAGAGAGAAAAAAGTGAAAAGCCTCTCTAGATAAACTGATAAAACTACAGTAATTTATGCAACCTAGCCTACAGCAAGAGAGAACTTCTGGGTATTGTTTCCAAACCTTTCTAGCAATTACACCTGCCTGCTAAATACCAGCTAGTTAACAATCTGATTCTCACCACTCACTTCTTGGTCTTGTTTTCCCCTCGCCTTGGCTGGTAACATGGAAGACATCCATAGCAGACAGCAAAACTTTTGTCTGAAAGTGTCTCTTCTGTTCACTGGTGGCATCTTCTGGAGAAGCCTATATAGTGGGAGTAAACAAATTAGCACAGCAGGAAAAGAGACAGGAAATCAGACTCAAATTCACTTTCAGCAAGGTTGAATGTGTGGACAGCTACTGGGCAACAGATGAGATGGCAGAATTTCATACCCCAGTTGGGAAAACTGGAAATCTTACATAGGACTACACCCTCTAGCTGATACCCAGCACAGTTGCCCTCTGCACACTGAAGAGAAACAAGGTTTTGCAAAGGGCCAAAATGTAGGTTCACAGGTGTTTCCCAAGAGGTCCTGTCCTCAAGAAACTTCAGCTGCATTTAGCAGGTTCAGGGAACTGTTTCTCCACAAGATGACTTAATTCATTACAATTTCAGTCAAGCTTACGTTCATTACTATTTGGTTTACTAAGCTAAGTCTGTATCAGAACTCACATTTGGGATACCTGGGACTATTGACAATTTGGAGCTGTAGCCTAAGTTTTTCACTTTCCCTTTCTTCAAACTATTCTGACTCTTTCCAGTGTTTTGAGTGGTTGAAATCCATAACCCAAACTCAGCTGCTACAGACTGTATTAACCTGTGCCTAAAGTGGAGGCAGGGTTTTTTTCTTTTGTTTATTTGAGAACTGAGAGAAAACTGCTACCTCAAAAATTGGTACACAGAATACTCCATGTGAAATTTTCTGTTCTTAACAAATTCAAGGGCTGCTCTAATGACAGGCAGGTATTACTAAGGAAAAGGGAATTCTTTCATGCCTTTCTTCAATATTAAACATTGCCTGGAAAATGCCTCTTCTGTTGTCTAGGGGCAGCATTTTCTTAGTTCATGTTAATGCAGAGGAGGCAGAAAAGTCCTTTCCTTTCACCACTGTATGCACATTTTTTTTACTAGGCCACTAGCAGGATACCTCCTGTCCTTCCACCCCCAGTTCAAGGTAGAGTAGCAAAGCCTGATAATAGGAGAAACCTCAAGAAGCAGCTCAAGTGGATGCCCCTGTTTGTTTGCTGGGACATTAAGAAGACTGTCCATCAGGAGGACTCGCACGAAATCCCACACTTGTTTCTTGGCAGGGTGTGGCAGGAATTGGAGAGAGGAGGCATCAACACAGCCTTTCCCTTCAGCAATGGCTGGACCATCAGGAGTCAAAAGGTCTTCAGACCCTCCCTGTGGAAGCAGACAGCAATACATTTTAATTCCTACTCTCCTTGAAATTGATTTTTTTTCTCGTGGTAATCAATTTCCTATCTGAAGGGCTTGTGCTGGCTCATATACACGTACCTTGTGTGGTCCTGAATGGAAAGCAACCATAGCCAAAGTTCTCAAGAAGTCAGGACAGTGCCACACAGGGTCCTGAATGTAACTGTGATAGATCAAACACATAAACTGGATAACGTTCCCTGGATAGGCAATCTCCCAGGAAGCTTCTGTATCTGCAATAGGCTGAACAGACAAAAGTGCATCTGGTCAAGGCATCATTCCTCTCATTCGTATAAGCTCATCTCTGCTCCTCTCTAGGTATTCCTAAGCAACTAAGCAAACATGACATGGCCATGGAAAAGTCAGGCAAGTCACAAACAGCCAACCCCCAGCTTGTAGACTGAAGATGTACCCAACCAGTCATATCCTCATCAACAAGAATGAAAAAAAAAAAAGAATACTGTTGTGGGTAAAATCCATCTCTGTATTCAGAAGTTCTTAAACATGAATTCATCACATCATGTGTGACATAACCAGGCCAATAGCTGTTCTGACCCTTTGAAGTCCATGCCCACTGTACTACTCAGCACTACCCTGTGAGGGCAGGGGAGGACTAGGGATTATAGGCAAAGATCCCTACTGACATCTGTCATGCTTGAGCAGTTTATTCTGCCATTCACACTGGACTGTCCTTGCGACAGAACACTTACTTTGTCCACAGTGAATCTAACCATTTCCAGCAGTAAAACAGCTGCCTCTGAACACAGCCCAGTTTTGAGGACATTCTCTGTAAGGTGGTGCTGCAAGATCCACTGCAACATAGACTCAAGATCTTTCTACAGAGGAGAAGAGATATTTCAAGAAGAGATGAGAATTATATATGATACACATCAAGAACAATACCTGTTCTCTCCAATCAGAAAAAAACAAACCCAACACATCTTCACCTCCAGCAGCTTGTCCCTCTCCTATTCAATGTGTAACATTTGGCACCTGCATGAACAAGTTTGTTCCAAACACAAATTTTCTCAAATCAAAGTTGACTTACTTCATTTAAAAAATACGAATGACTAATTTTTATTATCACAAAAAGCAAGTAGAGTTAACTTGCCTTAGAATCCTCTCACAGAAAAGGCCATAAAATGCTCAAGTAGTAAAGCAATAGCAACTTCAGGTGCTTGTCTACAATTTTTTTTCATACCTTGACTGCTTCAGGTGGTTCAGCCTGTGGAGATGCCAGAAAGAGCTCTGCCACAAGCAAGTAGATCTCAGGGATGTGGACATGATCAGTCAGACATCTTTGCAACACAGAAAACCCAAAAATCAAGAAGTAGCCATTGTCAGGCCCTGGAGGATAAGTTTTTAAATTATCTTGAAAGGAAAAGAAAAGGAAAACACATATTAAGAAGTGTCTAAATTGAATGTCATATCAGAAGAAAAATTAGTGACACAACTTTATCCTCATTTGTCTCTGTCTCAGGCTACTCAGTACTCTGCTAGGCTGCAATATTGACAGTTCAAAAAACTTCCTCAGACTAACAGGTAATAATCTATCCCACTATCACTTCTGTTACATGAGATTCTTCCTGAATTCTTCTCCTTCCTTTCCCCTCCCTTTCTCAGAACCACAGGTCTAATTATCAAAAAGGAAGGAGAACAAATCTTAAAGAAACAAAAGGTTTCAGAGCAGACACTGACATCGGAACATTTCACAGGCTTATCAACTTGAGTTTGTGCAACTCAAAAAGGCCCATCTCCCTGCAAGTGCTAATCAGAATTGCTAACTGTCATCCAAAGGAGAAGCAATGCTGTCCACTCTTCAGCACATAAATGCTGAAGTACCAGGACGAGCTTGCCCTAGAAGGTAATTTCAAATCTTAGTCTACTGAGAGCAGCGGGAATTCTCCTACCATGTACTTCAATGATCTTCTATCACCAAGCTGGATCAAGGGAGTGTTTTGGGAGCATTAAAGCAACACATACCCATTAGAATACTCGACCCTGCAGAGCTGTTTTCCAGCCAGCGCCCAGCCACTATCCCCTCCTTGAATTTGTTCAGCAGCAAACGATTGTGGAGGAAGCACAGAAGTAGCTTGATTCCTAGCACAACTGTGCTAGAGTGCAGGTAGCTCTGTGTGAACAGCAGAAACCAGTCTGGCCCCAGTGCCAAAAATGTCTTTTCCTGTTCCCTAGGACAAACAGACAATGAAAATACATGATGGAAAACAGAAAGGGGGTATAATTTAAAATTATCTCGAAGTGATTTAGAAGTTTCAAGCTTCTGAAGAAAAAAATGTGATTAAAGGTGTAGCACAACACAGAATTACAAAGATTTAACAACAGACTCATCCACACAATTGAAGTCACTTAATTCCCACTAAATCCAGCCTTATACTACTATTAGACAAAAAAAGTTAACAAAGATGAATCTCCTTCTGAGAGTGTCAGTAAGTGAGGTAAACTACATCACAGACTAGGTCATTCAACCCATGGAATCCAAAAGTTTAGTTTTAATTTTGAAGTCCAAGGTGTGTTAACTAATGAAAGTGCACAGTTGCAGCACCCAGCACTATGAAATCTGCCTATCAGTCATACAAAGTAGAACTATAGTAACTGCATGCTCATGGTTACAATAGAGAGGTGCTAGTAAACTCACATTACATTGAACTGATTTTCAAAGACAGCTGGGATTTCTTCAACCCTTGCAATGCAGAAGAAATACTAATATCCAAGTTCTTCCTTCACAACATTTTCTAAAAACATTAAACTTTTTCCAAAATGGGTACCAGATGTATGATCAGATCACACAGCTGTGTGAATGCCAGATAAATCACTGACAAAAAGGTAGCTCTGAATCCTGAAACTTACCTATACCTTCCTAAATTGTTCTACTTACTCAGAGGACAGATGAAGTTTGTCTGAGTGCATTACATCTAACAGCATCTTCAGTAACTGGTTTCGAAGCCAGATTGTCTTTCCAGATGTTTGGCTTAAGGCTACAAATATCAGAAAGTAATAAAGAGTAATGAAGAGACAAAACACATGTTCCATTGCTTTGATGAACAACCTTGTTTGCACCAAATTAGCCCAGTGGAAGTACTTATATCAGTTTTTTGTAGAGTAAAAAGATGCAGACATCAGATTTTAGGCACAGAAATTCCTGCTAATATCAGAAACAATCAGTGTTTACATTGTTAAAGTCCTCACTTTAAAGTTATTTAAAACTCATCCAGACTACATGTTGAACAATATCCCACAGGAATATCCCAATCTCAGGTCAACTGCAGAGGGAAATGTAAACAGGCAATCTTGTATTGCCCAGCTGTGATGTCTCCCCATATAAACTAGAGTTAACAGCATCTCCTTAATATGATCTATTGTTTAGAGTTGCAATAACCTATATAGCCTCAACTAGAAAGATCACAATGAAAGATCCAACTGACTGAACATTCCCCTACATGAACCTAATATAAATACACAAATATTTTAGAAGGTGCAGAGCTTCACATTATTTGCTACAACTGTAAGTGTAGCAAAGTGTTCACAGAAAATCCAGGATGCACAGTGGAATTTTATTCCTTGTAACAGCCCAGTAGGTTAGCTTGGGGGAAATTTCAATTTAATGTTCTTCATCTCTGCGTATATGTGTGAAATCTAACACTGTGTATGCTCTGGACAATGCAGCCACAATACTGCTGGCTTATTAGCAGGGAGAGAACAAAACAGGAACTCCCTTATCAGGAGGATTTAACAATAGGTTAGGCCTTCCCAGATATATACACAGTGAAGTTACTGTCACTTCACTATTCTTCATATCAGGCCTTTGTAGCAGTCTAAGTTTTCCCCACAATTTCAGGTCACCTCTGAGTTTTCCCCACAATTTCAAGTTACCTCAATGCAGCCTGATCCTTTCTAGATGAAGTCATTTGACATGTGTCTCTTCCTGCCACTGAAGGCAGAAGCACTATGTTATATTTAGGGTTCACCAGGCCCTAGGGAAGCAGGGAACTACTGTAGCTATATATTAGAACACACACACCAAAGGTAGCTCCTCACCTTCACTGGGCATATCAGCCACACCATCCAGGCATATCTGATTTTCATCCACAGAAGAAGGTTTCAAAGTGTAAACAAGGAACAAGCCAATCCTTGCAGAGAAAGAGGGAAGCAGTTTCAGTCAGCAGAGAGAAAGACATTTATTTAACTATTTTAAGATTACATACAAATTTTAATACTCATTAACACTGGCTGTTAACAACAATCATTGGAAATTCTAGTAGCTGCAGAAACAGGAATGAAAAGTTCATAAACTAGGAATCAAATTAAAAGGCCATCTAGCTACAAATGCAAGTAAAATATACTCCACTATGGAAGAAGTTATCGCTGTCTCTTTATTGTAAAGGTCTTTCATCATAAGGAAGCAATACTAAATTAAGCACCCAGTTCATACAAAATATTTTGAACTGCCCATGGGATTCAGGTATCTCTGTTATCATCACTTGCTTTCCAAACACAGAGGAGAGCAGAGAAACCTCAGCAGGTACTCAGGGAGGAGGACTGGCAACCGCTTTTCACCTGTAGTTTGCTTTAACACATTACCTGGTTCCAAGAATAGAAAGAGTAATGTGACAGAGACGTGAAAGTGCATAACCTCCTCCTGCCCACAAGAAGGGAATTTCTTAAGGGACAGAACACCAGTTGTTCTGCAGGAATGGTCCAGATAGCAATTCCCATTAGATGTATCAAAAATCTGGGACCAGGAGAAACTCCAGCACCTATCAGTGCCACTGAGAGCCTGTTATGGTCTCTGCTGTCCTGCAGCTAGAAGGACAGGGACTGTCTCTGTTCACTCGCGCAGCTCTCATGGGCCTGATGACCAATAAAATTACCATGGAATGACAAATAATGATATTTTAAGAAAAATGCTCATTCACAATGCTTGCAACACAGCAAATTTGACATACTAAATCCACTATTCTCACCTGTATGAAAAAGAATAGGCTAATTCATACAACCCCAGGGTAGGAGTGTACATATAATTAACATATATCACATACATACCAGAATATATATCCACAAAACACCTGGCAAGCAGTAAGTTCACATATAATCTTACTCCACAGTTAACCTTTTGAGGTGCTCATACTCTTCAACAGAACTTAAGGTTTGACTGCAGAGACCACAGGTTTGACATGCAACTCTGATTCTATATTTTATCAAAAACAGAGCTTTAGAAACAGAGCTGCCATCTGTGCAGTGGATTTCCCTGGAGTTAGGTGGCTGTAGACAGCACTATGTGGACCTTCCTCAGTTCACAGGCTACAAGCCAATGCAATTAGGCTGGGGATAAAAAATGAAGCAGTGCTTACATTCTGTGAAGAGCGAACAAGGATTTATATTCTTTGCTTCATGAAATCCTGACTAACACAACAAAAAGGATTTTTATTGGGATATAAGCCAAACCAACAGGACTGGGTACATAGTTCACTGGGGCCAAGTTGTAAGACTACAGTGATAGGGCAAGGTTTTAATGAAACCAAACATTAAGTACAGACTTTGTGTGGTCCCAGTTGTACCAGCAGAACTATTTGTGCCACCACTGTAAGAGTCATCACCCAAACCATCTTCACACAAATAAAAGATGGGACTGAACTTTGGTTTTAAGGCATGAAAAAGTATTTTATCAGAGGGGATCCTGCAGTTGCCAAAGATATGGAGTTCTGCCAAAGCTGAGGTGAGGGAAGCTCTACTATTGGGCTTTCTACAACACAAACAGGAGTACAGCTCATCTGCAATCTGAGGAAAAGCTGTAGACTTGAAGGTTACCTGAGAACATCCCTTGTATTAAAGTATCCTTGCAACAGATGGGAGAGAATAGTGCAGACCACAGTGATCCTGGAGTTACTGATTTCAGGATCATTGAAAAGGAAAACAAGCTTGGGCACCATTTGCACCTGGTAGGCAACTGCAACATTCTGACATCCATCTCTGTAAAAAAGCACAGGGACTATTAAAAGCTTTTACTGGAAAGAATTAAATTTGCTGAGTTTCAGCTAAAAGGATTCTCAGGTTGCACTGATACTTATCACCTTTGGCTTCTAATGTTGCCTTGACAAAATTTCAAACACTGTCAGACAAATTGAACACATGTCAGTGATGGAGATCTGAAGACTTCTTTGTGTATTGTACCCTTCTCCTCTGCCCTCTCCCCCAGAAACTGCTGCATTTTGAGTTCAAAGAAAACGTTATTGAATTTTCAAGCAGCTAGTTGGTGGTAATAAATGCTATTCCTGTAAAACTCAGCAAGGGACACCAGACAGCTCTGCAAAGAGCTTTCTGCTGCCAAAAAAGAGTGAATCCTGCTTTACTCAGCCCCTCTGCCATGCTATGTCTCTTTAGATACATTTTGCTCTAGTCCAGCTGATTAAGAAAGTATACTGTTATAAAAAAGTCTTCCTGTGACATGTTTTTGTTTTAAACACAACTTCAATTATGCATTTTTTTAAATTATTTCATACACAATTCAAACATTCGTATTTCCCCTCCTCAGCACACACTTAAACTTTAATTGTACAGCAGTGGATCCACATGAACCAGGTCACCAGATATCTTTGCCCAGTCTGGCCCCACAGTCATCACAGGGACTGATCAAATCACTAACTCTAGGCTTGAAGAAGCAAAATAGGAAAGCTTCACTTCCAGAGTCCACTGATTCCAACTAGGACTGGACCCTTCATATCCATTTCACAGTTCCAGCTTCAGGTTACATATGAGCTTGTCCCACAGGTTTCTGATTCAAACACTAGTTTGTATACCTGGAGGACTGCAAGATCTCCACAAGATGGGAAAAAAGAGCAAGATCAAGATTTTCTGGTGCTTTCATCCAAAGCTGAAAGACAAAGGAAAGCAGAAGTTTTAACTGCTTTTCTGAGCTGAGAGGACAGTACCTGTGGCAGAGAAACAGTAAAAAGTAGGTCAAGGAGGATAACATCATAAATTCTCAGTGTTTCTGCCACACAAGCTGCAGGCACTGGGAAATCCCTGCCAGCACAGGCAGTTGTTGCTCCAGAGCTAGCCCTGAGGAGCAGCCCCTCTGGGTCTGCAGAAACACTCCTGCAGACCTGGGGAGCTACCATCTCCCCAGGTGTGCCACAGTGTGGAAAAGCACAACACACCACCCCATCCCAAATATTGGATCCAGGAGGAGCTAGGAACAAACCAAACCTCATACTATAAAGCCATCTTTGATACAGCCAAATCCACAAAGTAACATCAGTGGTTTTACCTCAAAGTTGCAGAGAACATACTGGAATGCACTATAATTCTTGATGGCTGAAGATTCAAAGCCAAGTTCAGCTGTGCCCACTAGGGAGAACATTAACTGTAAAATCCTGTGGTTTAACAGCTGTGTCTTCCTCTTTAATAGATAGGTCAACAACTGAAAAAAAGAAGACTGAATAAGTATCTGCTGAGTATAAATCTGTATTTATAAACTAACACATAACACTATTTTTTAATTCAAGATGAATGCAGTTTGCTCAGCTGTAGCAGTCAGATTTCAGTCCAGACATAAAATTTTGTGCAGTAATTGAAAGTTTTTGAAGGAGCTTAACAACTCTGTGGCATTGAGCAGGAATAAAATACATGCCATATTATGTTAAATGGAATTGACAAAAAGAAACATACAAATATAACTATAAATAACCACAGTAGGCATTCTATGCTATCCTTCATGGATGTATTCTAGGTTGCTTGCAAATGGTGTTAATTTAAAAAAGAATTAAGGTTGATCTCTCCAAATGAAAGAAATTTGTGAAACATTGCCAGTTTCTCAACTGAGTCCACCTTTGATTACCTAATGAATTCCTGATACTGTGAGAAAAACATTCAGAAAGACACTACATTTTGAACAGATTGTGAGGGATACACATTGATTTTAAAATACCTATCAAGGCACATTTATTAATTGGGTCTTAAAAAAACCCAAAAGGGTTCAGACATCCAAACAAAGAGCTAAAGCACTCCACGACAATATGATGACCAGTCACACAGAGAGAACATTGTTTAGCATAAAGTCAAAGGAACAGCTCATACACAATGTAAAGGCTGACATTCACCTACAAGAAAGGATTGGGCAAGCAATATCTAAGAAGGATAAATATACTCATGTGAATCGTGATCAATTTATGAACAACTTGCCAGCTGGGAAAATGGAAAGTTGGTAATAAATCATTCATGAAGCCCTAATGTTAAGTCTTGTTTGGAACTTTCTATGTTAAAGAGTCTGTTCCGTAAGAGTTCTCTGCTTAGCCTACACAGCATAAAGTAAATGATACTGAACTGAAACGTCATGCTTGAGCCTTAATCCATCCCATATTACATACATAGAGTTTACATAAAACCAAACTTCAACCTGGACAGCTTTAAGGTTTGAAAGATGAATTTGGGACAGATCTAATCAATGAAATTCAGACAGCACTTATTTATATCAGCACAATTCCTAATACACAGTGAAGACTGAGCTATAGGAATTCATTGTCGGCCCTACACTGGGCAGTCTGTAAAAAGGAATCTTAGGCTGGGTGAGCCAAAGGGAGGAAGAAAACCTGTCTAAGAAGTGGTCTTTTGTGGGAGGGATCAAGTGTATTGGCAAAAGGTGAAGAGTAGGCCATTCAAGTCTGCTTCACTGGCTTATTTAGTTTTTAGGTCATGTCTGACCAAGAAGCATCTGTTCTCACCTTCCCATCCGCAAATATACTCTCATAGAAGTTCCCAGAGATTGTAAGCACCTCTCAAAGATCTCATAACTTTCAGTGTTCCACCCACAACTGCCTATATCCAGGATATGTTTGGTTCATTGCCATTGATAAATTTTGGGATTAAGTTCTCCAAGGGAAAGACTATAACCAGAATGAATGAACAAAAGAGTGTCTACCTGGTATCCATGCATGTGCCTCATCAGTTTTTCACTCAACGGGCTACTGTTCAGGATGGAGTTCAGGACTTTGACAGCTGCATACATGGTGTGGTCATCACAGGCCATAGCAATGAGACCCAGGAGAATGGCAGGGCCTCCAATAAAGTTCAGACTAGTAGCTGCTGGAGAGGACTGGAAGACTCTTACCCCTAGGAAATTACAGTGTTACTCTACCAGGAAGTTACATGGACTAAATCTGTTACTGGAGAGAGAAAAGCTTAACTCTTAAGAAATATTAAGCATTAAGGCATAATGCATTTACCATATTGGCCCACAGCAACTGACCCAATAGTGCGCAAGGAACCTGAGAGGTGTCCAGCAATATTCTTAGCTAGGTATATTGGAGTCGTACTGTCCCTGGAGTTGATCCCAATCTAAAACAGATAAAAGACATTCTCAGAAAAACCTTTGTAGTACTGGGGAGACAAAAAGTAACAAATGCATGCTCTGATATTTCAGATTGTTTTGTTACTTTTAGACAATGAAAACCATCTTCTTTAGTCGTTTGTTAGGACAAATATTCACCCCCCTAGAATATCATACAAATCCACTACTTTCACATGTCAGTAGGCCTGGCATTAGCAAGAATGATAGAATAGTATTTTAAAAGTCCTAATGAAGTCATTAAGAAAACACAGACTGAAACAAATTATGATGAGACCTCAAAACTATGGCTTCTGTTCCTGTTTCAAGAAATGCTTTTAACATTCTGCTCACACTGCCTAATCTATCCCTCTCCACAAATGAAAATTAACCCATGAGTAGAATGAAGTTAAGGAATGAGAAGAAAAGTTTGAAAAAAAAAGTCACTGAAGGTACACAACTAAGACAAAGTTACAAACTTTGCTCTGGGAAACTGATGAGAAACAAGAGAACAAGGGAAGAGACAAGGGAAATTTGTGACCTCTTTGGCAATCAGCCTGCCATCCACTTCATTGTAGGAGGTCTTTATGTCTTGGACTGTAGTGAGAGATGAGCACGTGGCATTGATTCCAAAAGAAATCTTCTCTTCTGCCACCAGAGGTGCAGTATTATGACCACTGTACTGGTCCTCACCTAAAACAAGAGAGATTGTGAACATCTGAAGGAACTTGGCATGCTCAACATGCGAGATGAGAGGCAGAGGAAAAATAACTGGAGGAAATGGAAGTTTAGAAAAGGATTTGATTTTGTCTTAACTATAGTCAGGAAAAAGTCTTCACCCTTTGCAACACAATCCATGGCAGCTTGCCAGCATAAGCACCAACAGCAGATGTGCTTGGCTGTGTCCTCTGGTTAGTGCTTTGTCTAGATTCTACATCCTCTCACAGTATCTCATAAAGCTCAGGAAACTCTGGAATAAAGCCTTCTCTGTCCTCACGATATAAACAAACTTTCTGGGCATAGAAAACATATTAGAGGCCTTCCATGTTGCTGGGATTACTAAGAGCAAGGAGTCATGTGGACAAAGGACAGAGGCAAAAGTTCAGAGCCACCAACTTACAACATGTAGGAAGCTTCTAAAAAGTACCATGTTCATCAGTTTAATGACTGTATGAAATTCTCATGTGCATTTCTTTAAAGAATTTTCTATTCCTGCTCACTCTCGGAAAACCCATATGTAGCTTTATTAGAAAATTACAAATTCAATCTTGTATTTTTGACAATTTCATAGACAGGGAAAACAGTTGATTTATGCAACTATTTACTGGTGGCACAGCCCTTCTTAGGCAAAAAAAAAAAGAAAATTAACTAGAAGTAAATGCCCCAAGACTGTGTCACCTATTTCCCTTCCAGCAGGACATGGGCTTATGGCCAAGCCTGCACACAATTGCTGCTGATTAGTGAGAAGCAATGAGATAGTGGCGAGACAGGACACAATACTGCTGAAACAATTCATACTGCTGTTTGCAACATGGTAATAAATCCATTTTAAGGAATAAATAATAGTTTGGGGGGGGTTGCTTAAACTTTTTTAAAGTCATAATTTCCATTTGACGAGTTCCTTGGGGTCTTTTGATGGAGTAGAGAGAGCAGGAGGAGAACAGGATCATTTCACAATTATGAGACCACATGTTGTATGCTGCTCTGTGATTTCCCTGCATCACTGGAGTCAGATGGCCACAATCCATGATTAGTACTAGGTTCATCTGGAGAGTACTGTGCAGAGAACAAGAACCCCAACTTCATAAAGACTCAATACTGCAAGAATCAAATCCTTCTGACTTCTACTAGTGATGTTTTTATTTTAGAGCTGTAGTTTGACATAATTTCTCTTTCAACAACCCTCTCCCAGGCTTGCCTTGTAGATTTTTTGTGTGTAGACAGACAATATTCTGAAGGAATACTTTCAGCCAGTCTTTTCACTTTGTTTCAGGCTTCAGCATCACCAGGTGAGATTATTCTGCTCTTTTCAAACAAGAGATGGCCATCCCATTTCATCCCAAGCTCTAGTACAGAGGTGAATGCACTACTTGTTGAACAAACAGTAATCAATAACTGAAATGTTTTGTCTGCCTGTTTAATAATTGAAGCTAGTAATACACTTTAGTTAAAAAGCCTCTTTATTAAATGGAATGTAACTCATTCCCCTACCCTTCTTTCCCTGTGCTCTGTCCTACTCTGCAGGCATTTGCAATTAAACTCAGTACTTCTTTTTCTGCCGTGTTTTTTCCCCCTGTAGCACTGTAAAGGCAGAATGTATCAGTTAAAGCTGCTGCTTTAATGTTTGTCCAACAGAAATCAGAATCTAGCAATTCAGGACATGTTATCCCTCTTTACTCTTTCATCTCTGCTGCTTGATTCCTGCCTTTCTTTTTCTTCCCAGTTCACAGTATGTTACAAGATCCTGATGTACAACACTCAGTAATGCAGTTTCCCAGGCTTTCAGAGTGAGCTCTAGACACAGTTGAAACACTAATAGCAGATTATAAGAATATAAAGAGAATTGACCTAACAAACAAATAGTGGTGGATATGAGCAAGATCACATACCTTGAAGCTCTACTGCTTGGAAATTGCTACAGTACTGTGGGCCAAGCTTAATAATCACCTCCATGGTTTCCACAGAGATGGCTTCTTCAAACAAGTGTGTAGGGCCAAGGCGCCAGGTCAAGGAGGACTTCTGTTTCCAGATTCGAGGAGTAGCTATGTACCCATAGACATCAATAAAGGAAGAGGGTTCCATGGAAATACAGCTACCTGGTAAGGGCTGGAAGTACTGCATCTGCAACAGAGGAAGAATTCACTGAGGGAACCCAATACACTCAGAGTGCCTTAAGAACTTGCCCCTGTAAGGCACTGCCTACTGCCTCTTTGCTCACTGGAGTCTCAGTCAGCTGTGCAATGCAATTATCAACTACTGTGTAGAAATTAGACTTTGAGGAGTATCATAAACACAAGAATTTTGGAATGTTTAAGTTTAATTTTTGTTAAAAAAACAGTCAAAATAATTTCAAGTACTGGCAAAGAAAACCCTATCTTGACCCCAGATTTATTTTTCCTGTTCTGAACTTCACAACTCAGACTTCACAAAGACAAGTTACAGACCACACCTTGTACTGGTACCTAGAGAATAACCAGTTTTTGAAGAGTGTAGAATGTCCAAGTGTATTAGTTAGCTTCAGTGACAGCAACACCTTTTAGGAAATAGGACTGTTTATTTTCAGTATCAAAATAAGGATTTTGCTTCCTAAACTGAGTCTGTTATTTTATTTAAATGTGGACAGCTCTAATAGCAAGTAGTTGGAATTTCTTGGTAGAGAGAAACTATGTTGCATTTCAGGGCTTAGCCCTACCTTTAGCAATTTGATGTCAGGATGAGAGAGAGACTCAGCATTTACTGATTTCTGACTACTAAGATGTAGGAGACAGGGCTGGTCAACATCAAGAGACAAGACTTGATACTTGAGTGAACAAATACTAGACTTGATGTAACACAGTAACCCCCTCCCATACCCCCAGCTCCACCAACCAAAACACCTTTTGGTAATGTTAATAACCTTTGTGCATTTCTAACTTCTTAGACAATCTTTTCTTCACTGTACATATCAGGATGCATCATGTCAGAGGCCCCAGCACTGGGACAATCTTTTATTTACCAAAGGCTTCTTTTATTTACATGAGTTGTTTCGCTGTATGTTAAACATGTTTGCTGTGAATTCTTTAATCAATTGCAATGCTTAGGCCTAGTTTTATTGATGAGTTTCAGTCTCATTTGAAGGAAGGCAAATTAAATTAAATTTTCATTCTTGAAATGGATATAGGTCCCAAAAGGCATTTAGAAGAC